GAGAGGAAAGTGTGAAGAGAATAATTAGCGATACAGGGAGAGAAGCGGAGAGGAGAGTGAACAGGAGAGTGAACAGGAGAGTGAACAGGCGTGTTAGCGGCAGACAGGGAGAGACAAATAATTACACATGGCGCTCTCCAAGAAGAGGAAAGTGGACAGTGAGAACAGAGCTTTTAACCCTGAGTGGACTCACTCATGTTCATCCTGCCCACTGGGAGCACAGAACCAGTGTGTCTCATTTGTTCAGAGACCGTGGCGCTCATTAAAAGTGCCAAAACGCCACTATGAGACAAAACACAAAGTGTTTGACCAAACATTCCCTCTCAAGTCAGAACTGAGGTCACAAAAAATAAGCAGTCTCAGAGCCCAATATGATCCGTCCACCAGGATCAAAATTCAAACTAAATATGGTTCCAGGGCAGGCTAACCGAGGCTAACCAATGAGCACCTGCATGTGTGTATGAGAATGGCCCTGACACCATTTCAGCCCAGATTTAAAATCCTGGCAGGACAAGCTCAAGCCCAATTCTCGCACTGAATTAAAAAGAAAGTGAGTGAGGGACTGCAATATAAGAGGGAAAGAAAGAGAAACTTTAAAACTGCTTAATTGTTATGATGTGTAAAGACTGATATTGTTCTATAATCGTCTGAAACTGTTAAGGCATGATGTGAAACGGTTAACAAAGAAAAAGGGAAACTCAAGCTGCTGCTACACTTTATTTTATTTATCTAAAATTAAGCACTTTTAAGATGCACATATTTTCAAAAGCTATTTTATTTATTTTCTCAATTTTATTTTTAAATGCAGCCCGAGAGGAACATTACACATATCCACAGTATTTACTGTATATCTGTATAGTTCAATGTTAATTGACAATACATTTTGTTGTTTATGAATTGTACTTTCTTTATTTGATTGGCAGTCAGTTGTTGATTACATGCAGACGTTGTTAAAGCTACAGGCTACTTCAATATATATCACACTAATTCATAAAACAACTTAGACATTTTGATGTTCCGGACCTTTGCATGGGGAGATTTTCTCTAACTGGACCTCGTTGAATTTTACTTGAATACCCCTGATCTAAATCAATGTATCGCTCCAACACTTACTTTGTTGTTGTTTCAGCAGCCATCAGATTGAGGAGGCCGGGATCTGCTCGTCACATCTGTCCGAGGACATCCTTGCTTTGAGGACGTTTGAAGACAACGGGCCAAACTTCAGAAACATCCTCCCGTCCCCGCTCCAGGACTGCAAGGGCTACACCCCCAATGTGTTCAGGGGGATCAACACCTCCGGTTCCTATCACGTCTACGGCGACTCCCAGCTTCCTTCTACGAAGCTTGAAGGCCCCCACCAGCTCAGCGACCTTCCCAGAGGAGGGGCCCAGCAAAGATGCTCGCAAGTGACTCACAGCGAGTCCACCACCATGCTCTCCCACCCCAGTTTCCCCACCAATATTACCCAGAGGTCCATATCCCCCATGGAGGAAAACGGCTGCCCAAGATTGTCCCAAGGTTTTAGTAAAGGTGTGATCTGCAGCCCTCAAAGCCCCCTGCGATCCGACTGTCAGCCAAACTCGCCGACCGAGTCCAACAGCAGCAGGAACGCAGCGCTGAGCCTAAGACAGTCCTCAGAATGCTCCAAAGACACCAAGGCCCGCAACTGGAAGAAGTACAAGCTGATCGTTATGAACCAAACTCCAGACGAAAACGATAAGGAGAGCCGGGAAAGCGGCGCTGAAGCTACACCCATGTCCCCGACGCTGAGCGCCTGCAGGAGCGCTGCAGCAGGCGAGGCGCAGGGGGAGGAAGCGGCCGGCGAGCACAGAGAAGAAATCCACACGGCTCAGAGCGTGGAGAGTTGCAGCAGCAGCACCTGTAGCAGCATCAGGTACAACACTGAAAATAAGAAGATGATATGGTGTTTTTTCTGTGGTAGCAAATAACTTATTTGAACTCTGTGATTTGTATTTCTACCCGCAGCTACCGCAGATGCTCCTCCTGTGGTTGTGACAGCTCGCAGTGCCTGGATATCGGCCACCTTTCTCCGGACTCTTACAGCAGAGAGGACACCACCAAGCTACACTCAGAGTATTCCTCCTCTGGCTGCGGTAGGTGGCCATCAATCAACACTAGGATTATTTAAAAACAAAACCATGGAGGTGCGCTAACATCTCATTGTTTTTATTGCTTCTTTGTGCAGAAAGCAACATCTACTTCTGCAACGGGTGTGACTGTAAGTTCACGGAGGAGGACTCCCTGAAAGAACACATGGCCCAGGTGCACAGTGACAAGCCATACAAGTGTGACTGCTGCCAGGCCGCCTTCCGCTACAAGGGGAACCTGGCCAGCCACAAGACCGTTCACACCGGTGAGATTAACATTCTTTTTTAAAGTATTATGTAGCATCTCTGTGTTAAAAAGCCTTAAAACCACTAGAACTATGTCATATAGCTGTTGTGTTATGTTATTATTTTATCCCAATCTCCATCTTTGTTATTGTTTTGATTGAGGGACCCCTAGTGGCAGGACATGACATTTTGTGCCTTTTAAAGTCACTTTAAGTTGACCTTACATGTGTGACTGTTATATTCATCGTTCATCGTGTACTTCCAGGTGCAAAGCCTTACCACTGCAACATCTGCGGCGCTCAGTTCAACCGGCCAGCAAATCTCAAGACACACACCCGCATCCACTCTGGAGAAAAGCCATACAAGTGCGAGACATGCGGCTCCAGATTTGTCCAGGTGAAGAAAACATAGGAATCTAATGACTTTAGAATCAACTTGAAACAAATCAAAAGATACTTGCAACTCGAAATGGGCTCTAAGACCAATAGCTTTTAAAAATATATATATATTTTGGGCCAGTTTATCTTTTGTCAGAGAGATAGATTTCTTAAATAGGGAAAATAGAGGGGATAAGAAACAACAAATGGATTAAAGATAGACAGGGAGAAGCATTAAGATCTGTATATATACTATGCTATAGTGCAGGGGCGGACTGGCCATTGGGAACACCGGGAGTTTCCCCGGTGGGCCGGTGCTGTGTGTGGGCCGGAGGGCCAAAAAATAAATAAATGAAAAATCTTTTTTTTTTTGCCTAAATCCTACTGGCCCACATTTGTAAGTGTTCCGGCCACTCCCTTTTTTTTTTTTTGCTTACCTAAATCCTACCGGCCCACATTAGTAAGTGTTCCGCTGGGCTGGGCCGTTTTGATAGGCTACCTTTGTTCTATCTATCAGTTTCAATTTCACACATCAGGCCCGTAGCAGCTGTCACTGCGCAGTGAATGATCAGGAGTGAGTGACTGAGAGACCTAGCTGGCAGTTGCTTACAGATGGATAAGCAAGCTCCAAAGCGTAAAGGTGCTTTTGTATAGTTTGTATATACAGTATTGTAGCGAGCCCTGGGTTCAGAGGGAGGGGCTTGCATAGGGGAGGGGGTTGGCAGGGAATTGGGTTCAGGGGGAGTGGCTGTACGGCTGTACCCGTAGGATAGAAAAGGGGGAAGTGACGTCTGACTCAGAGGTCGAGCGGCTGTGGAGAAGAACGTGTTGCCCACATTCTGTTACTGAGTTTAGGCTAGTTAGCTAGCAGGTTTATTGTTTTGGGTGCAGTCACTTTTGCCTCCACTTGCTGTTCAAATAAATTTTGAAATAAAAAGTAAATCTGTTTACAGTTCCGTTTATATGGGTGTCGAAGAAGAAGAATTGGGAGGGATGAAACCCTCATTAATGGTCACAAATGCAGAGCACACAGCACACAGAGTGAAATGTGTTCTCTGCTTTTAACCCATCCT